ATAGCTGCTTCTAAATGAGCTAAACCAATAAAACAATTTGACAATCAACAATCCTGTGATTCATGAGAAGATATAGCTAATTTAACTGGATAAAGTATTAATGCTAAAGTACGCAAATCATCAAAAAAGGGTATATAGCTAACCTGTATAATATGGTTAGCAATGTATGTATGGTATGGTTTTTTCATATATGTACAGAATTAGAAACCATACAAGTATGGACTACTTGTTATGAAAGAACCATACATGTATAGTTTTTAAAGCATACATACCATACATACATTTAAGAAAAAACTGTACAATACATACATTGCTAATCGTACTATACAGGTTTGTGTAATACCCAAAAAAAATGCTTTCATGCATAATATTGATTGTACTGAAATATTTAAAACTTCCACATGGTTATTAAGTATCTATAAAATAAGATAAATAAAATTAATTTTTAATTTAAAATTATTAAATATAATTATTTATTACTTACAGTTTCTAATGGTATTTTATGCCTTATAATAAAAAATACACAATCATACATTATTTGCTAATTTATTGATTTATGTTCAACTTTTTGTTTAGGTAATGAAGTATCATCGGTTGAAGTAGTTGAATTAGCCTCTATTTTGTAAGACGCGAATGCATTAACGTTAAGTTTCAGAGAATTTCAAATAATTCAGATTGAATTTCGGATTTGGGCAGTATCAGACTCAATCAGATATTTTGAAAATCTTTTGTTGAGGCGTAACTAATATTGCTTAGATTTTGGATTCGATTAGGCGTAATAATCAGGTTTCACCCGAACCTTTAACGAAGATCATGCGCACAAAAAAAAATTGTAATCCTCACAACTCACACTTTTTTCTATCGCGTTGAATACAAAACTAAAGTGAATAAATATTATTTTAGAGCTTCCTAAAAAAACTTGCAACGATATTTCTATCACAAACACCATTTTATGATGTTGTTTACACTTACGTTCGTGAAAATTATTTCAACTTTTCCTAAATACGATTTATGCAAGACATTCATAAAATAATGCAGGCTTAAAACATCAATCAGCAAGTTTTTAAAGCATAAATTTAAAATAAATTCTTTTAAAAAAAATTATTTTAAAGAATTTTTGTTTCTACCTCTATCAAATAATCCAATAATCTGAGGACACAACACGTAAACTTGTAAAGTCAATTTTTATCGCATACGGGAAAGGCAACGAAAAATTAACAATTCTTGAGACCATCGAATAATGGAATATATAAAGAGCACCAACTGCAAGAAATTCAATATGTGATTGTTTCTCATGATCCTAATGATTATATGGCACCAAGTAATTGTATTTACTAAAGAAAGGGAGAAAGTTAAAAATGAATGAAAAGTAGTTAGATGCTGAGTTTCACGAAATTTTTTTAATAAAGCAATTCTATGCAAATCCGATTGAATAGCTAACGGATGGAGGAATACCTTTTTAAAGATTTCTAACTTTCAGCGTCTATTGACTGAATTATCGAACTTATGTATTTCGAACGTAATGAATTTGCATATTTATAAAATTACAATTAATAATAAATTTACAAGCGAAATTCACCCAAAAACGTTTGTAATAATTTTTGAATATTTATTTGTTATAAAGTAGTTAAAAAGTACATAAGAGCCAAAATTATTGCTGATAATCAGATATGGTAATGAATGTATTTTGTCCTAAAAGTTAAGGTGAAAATATTTACATAAAAAATAAAATACTAAAAATTACATACTTTTAATTATTATATTTTCTAAAGATTAAATGAGGAAAGTATATTGTAAATTTGTCATTTGAAATAAAAAGGTCTAATTATATAGAAGATTTTAATTAAATGTTGAAAATGGTGTTGTAAGTACTAAAGGTTTTAAAGCTATTTTCATATATAAATTTTGAGATTTTCCTCGTTTATAAATTTCTTCCTTCTTTCTTTAGGCATTACAATCGCATTTTACTGCGTCGATTTATATTTAAGTAAGTCATTTTTTTTTTAATTGTTTGTTTTTATTTTATTTTCTTAGTTAAAAAAATAATTTATATAAAAATATAAAAGATGTGTAAAAGCAAAGGATCTAAATAAAGCCAAAAATGTTAAATTCAATCGATATTTTAAATAAACGTTCGGTCAAGGAATTCTACCATTCCTATTCATAGTATCTTAAAAAAAAAATTAAAAATGGTTTAAGTCTAAATAAGTATTAGTGGGTGCAGATAAAATCACGCTAAAAACTTAAATTATACTTAAACTATTACAACTATTGGTCCTTTTTTATGAACGTTATATCCGAATCTAACATTTATGAAATTCATTAAATGTGGAAAAAAAATTTTAAAAAAAAATTTGGCGGAGAACCCTCTACTGTTTATTTTCTTTGCAAATAAAAGAGTAAATAAACAAATTAAATGAAAGAAATTATTTGCTTTTAACAATAATAGAAACTCCTATCGGAATTATTCACCAAAATAAATTAGAGTAATATCGAAAAAAATTTAAAAAAAATTATTGAAAAAATACTTAAAAATTTATAAATAATTAATCACAGAAATGGTTTCAAAAACTTGGAAGCAAGATTAAGGAATTATTAGAGCCAAAAACGAAGATTTAAGTTCACATTTCAAATATTTAGAAGAAAAGGTTAAAGAGCGAGAAAAAACTATTAAAGAAAAGAGGAAGTAACCAAAGTTTAAATCGTTAAATTATTAATGAATTAGAAGAAAGAACCAGAAATGTAGAATTAACTAATTACTAGGGAAACGGGGACCGTATCCAGACTTTTTTTAATGCAAGAGCCAATCAGTATTGACTAAATTATTGAGCGGGACACCTCGTGTAACCTTAGACTTGTACACATATAGTCCTTCACTTCGTTCCGGACTAATGATGAGAATACATTCTATTAAGGATGACATATTAAAACCTTTGGAGGATTACAACGATATCGAAAATTGAAATCTCACCTTTTTTACGCTCAAATAACAAGCTTACCAACTTTACCTAACTCCTTAATGAAATTCTAAAATTCTCAAATAATAAGTTACCAACCTTACCACACTCCTAAACAGAAATCTCTTGCGATAATACACAAATAACTAGTTTACCAACTTTACCCAACTAACTCTATTGCTATGGTATTCAATTGACCAGCTTACCAACTTTTTTTTTAAACGAAAATTTAAAAACTCGGCTCAATATTATCATTCATAAATTGTTAAATACCTTAAGATCGTGATCATTCATTTTTTTTAAAAAAAAAAGTGTAGTTTTTAAAAGAAAATTGTCTAAAATAATTTTTTTGAAACTGGATTTTCTTAAAAAAAAATACTGTATAAAAAAAAAAGGTTATTTATTATGTTACCTTTTGAAAAAAAGGTAAATTAACTGGATTTTCTTTAAAAAAAAAAAAAAATCAAAAAAAAAAAATCCATCGGGTTATGCTTATGCAATTAAAAAAAAAGATCGTTGGGTATACATTTTGAAAAAGGGTTAATCGGATTAAAAAAAGGTTGTTGGTTGTTGGGTTAACTTTGAAAAATGGTTAATTGGATTGCTTTTGAAAAAAAAATTAACCGGAATTTTTTTTAAAAAATGTGTAGTGTAATAAGAAGTATGATTTGTGAAATAACTACACTGTTTATCGTGACTTGCAAATTCAAATATAAGCAAGAGAAAAAAATTTTCACGCGTTAAAATACCTTTTATTGCAAAACTGCCAGAACTCGTGTTAAACTGTTATTAAAAATGTCTTCTGTATATTATTATAAACTCTGGCGAAATCCGGAATTTTTAAAATCCCTGATAAAAAGTTTGTAACGGATTTTTTCCGGAAAAATTGTAAGATCAACGGATTTTTGTCTGGTAAATTTTTTTGCAAATCGACATATATTGTTTAAAATAAAATTTTTTATTCATAAATTTTTTTAATTAAAAAATATATATTACAAATAATAAACACTACACATTTCAAACGTTATTATATATAGTAATAACATTTGAATTGTGCAACTTATTTTTACGTCATACACTACACAAATGGTCGATCCTACACCACTCATTTCCGTCTTACCTGAAAAAAATCCATGGATTTTCTCAAATCACGTGATGTTGTATATCGTTACATATAGATTTTATATCGCTATATGTGAATATTATTATAACGCGATACTAATTTATATTAAAAGTCTATCGTAAACTAATTTAATTATAGCTTTTAGTCAAAAGATTTTTTGGCGTTATCGTTATATAATAGCATTCGTTATATCTATAACATATCAATTTCCTTTTTATGTATAATAATTAATAGATCACGTGATGAAATTTTATGTTGTTCAAGAACCATTACAGGGAAGTGGGGGGAATTATGTTAAATACAATTTCGGCTTGGACCGTACTAAGCGTAACCGTTACACAAGTTTTTTTATTTTGTTTTTACACGTCTTCATATTTATGCTTTGAGAAAAAAAAAATTATTCTTTTTGTAAACCAGTCACCACATATTCATTTCTTTCCAAATAATCCAGGTAATATTTTTTTTTTGTGAACCCCTAATTTTGACAAATATTTTTTATTTTATTTATTTATTTATTTTTTATAAATTAAGATCCCGGCCCCAATAAGTAGACCCCAAAAATTTAAAAAAAATTTCTGCTCTGAAAACGAATAAATACTCTTGGATTCATCGTCTTGAAAGTTTTTTTTTCAACCTAACATATTCTTTTAAGAAAGAACGATTGAAATTATTTTCACCTCCCCTAATGTGATCAATTTACAAAACATATTTCTTAATCACACGATTATTTCTGTTTCTCCGCTTAAAAATTTTCTTACAATTTCTAATATAATAATTTTTTTAGGTATAAAATTGTTCCGATCTGCAAGGCGTCATTATAATAGATAGAAAAAAAAAGAATAAATGACTATAAATACTTTATTTCCTTTATCTAATTAATAAAAATTTCAGACTTTCTAATAATTACGATTTTACAAATAATGAGTTCATCAAGTAATTTCACTATTGAAGAATTTCGTAGGGATCATTTATAACTCTGGTTTAATTTGTTAGTTAGATCAACATTATTTACTTTAATTTATTTGTAGATACATTAACCGAAATATTAGCATTAACGGGTGGAGTCTTAATATTTCTCAATGTGTGTACAAAATTCATTAAATTATTTTTAAATAATAGCAAAATCTAAATACTTTTTAATTAGGGAAGAAATATGACGACGTATATAGTTCTACTTAAATTACTAGATTTTGTTTCGGACGTGACATTTTTGATTAAATACTGTAAAAATTTTTCCAAAATTATTTTTTCTAAGCTATTAATTTTCATCTTAAATGTTTTCATATTTAAAGCAAAATTTCAAGATTTAAAATGCCTTTTTTCATTTATTTTAGTTTAATTACATTAACGGTACCAGCAATGCTTAATCTTTTGTTTGTACTTGGAGTTATGATGCGACAAACTCAACAAACCAATAAAAGGGATTTTAGGGATTGGTTAAAGAAAAATATCATTATGACAACAATAATCACTATATTATCAATGGTAGATATAATGATTATGAAATTACTCGTAGATATTACTTTATTTAATCCTGAAGTGAGAAAATGGATACTCGTGGCCGGAATATTCAATAGTATTAAAAAAATGTCTCAAGTTGTTCTTCTTGTAAGTATATATATCGTAATATGAGATATTGTGGGAAATTCAAAATATATCCAAAATAATTGATTTTCTCTCTAATTTTTGTCTTGGAATTAGATACTATATATCGAGAATGTAGGATTAGATGCGTTATTAATATCGACACTATTTACAAGCATTGCAAGTTTATTATTCAGTATTATCTATGAAATATACGAACATATATCATCTGATTCAGAAGTATCCCATATCCCTTAGAGCCTACACAAAAGGATTAAAAAGGATTGTAACAGGTAAAATTTTCAATCGTAAAAAATTATGTCTATCACATTGTTTAATTAGATTGGGATAAACTAAGACTAACTTAAAATAGTGTGGAACAATTTAAGCAATTAAGCAATTCAAGGTTAATTTATGTATTTTTATTTTTTTTTTATTTTTTTTTTTTTTTGTCTCGAAATATTGTAATATATCCTGTTTAGAGCTTTCTGCCTTATAATTCTTTTTCATTAAATGGCAAATAGAAATTTTATTTAGCTTGAGTAAAATGTTGGAAAATGGGTTCAGAGATTAGATATGAATTAATAAACCAAATTTGAAAGTTTTAAATAATCTATATCATGTGTAGTGCTCCGTAAGGGTCGGTTTGAAGCATATTCAAACTCGAACCCGTTAATAATTACAGAACCTGAATTCGACTCGACCCTATCGACTTGACCCGATTATTGTTTAACCTGGATTCGACTCGAATTTTCAAGGGTAATATTATGTCGAAAATAAACTATTAAAAAATAATCATTTTTATTTATATACAGATAATAAAAAGTGTCATAGTTAATTTGAAAAAAAAATATTATTATTTGTTGTGCATTAATCTTAATTATTTTTTTACATCTTTTTCCACCAAATTTTCAAACACATAAGGCGAATTGTATTAACTTTAAAATCGCATCTTTTGGTTCATATTAGACAAGTTCTGCCAGAAAAAGCCCGTCCTACTGGAACTTGTTGCTTTATTAATAAAAAAAGGTATTATTTAATGTTTAATAACTCATATATTATAATTCATTCTATTTTTTTTTTATTACTTAAAAAATAAGGAAATGTTAATATTTGTATTCATAAATTTTTAATGAGAATTTAATAAAACTCAACATTAACTTTGGAGATACTAGATAAGGTTATTTTATTTAAATTTATTATATTTAACATAGTGTGTTGTAAAGCTTGTACCGTTTTGCTTAACCTTATACGTTGAAGATTTGACATTTACTTTTTTGCCTGATTGAATCAACAAATTCGACGTTCTTATAGAATGTGCATGTGCTTTTTCTTATGCTTATATTGAATGAAGTATCAGTTTATACCTCTTTTTCCTCCGAAAAGAAAGGTAAATAATGACCGACAAATGATCGACAAAAGTCGCATTATATGCCAAATTGAGTAAAATAAAGAATATTTTTTTTTTTTTTTTTTCCTTTTTGTTTATAAAAAATAAAAAAAAAATAATAAAATTAAAATTAAAAAGTAATAAAATAAATGGTTCTCAGGCCGCTGCGCCAAATTTGATAAGTAATTTAAAAATAAAACCGCCTTTTATTTATTTTTAGGCAGTATCGAAGAGCAAGCGTCAAATCGGGTCAAATGATCCGTAACATGATTTTAATAGCAAACTCCCATATATCGTATCAATAAAACAATGATAATAAACACTCTTCAAGGGAAATAGCGAAATCACATGGCGAGTTAGATAAAAGTGCAAAATTAATACTTTGTTCGTTTTTCCTACAATTCTGTTGTTCGTACTTTCACATTATATACAATAAATACTCTATATGGTCGATGCTTCGCACCAGGAGGATATAAATACATAGTAGGAATATAGGATAAGCGTCTCTCTTGAAATTGAAATACTCACACATTTCTAGGGTGACACAATGACACAGAGTTGGTGGTTCCTGTAAAAGTACTCACATCTATCGAATTTATGATGTTCTGCAATACAAACTAACTAATCCGTAAGACCCTATAGTTTATATCAAATTAAAACTATTCTAGGCTGCACTTTGGCCATACAGATTTCTTCTTTTTAATAATTTTATGAGATTTTATATAATTTTATATATCATTGTTATATTATTGTTGAATTTGATTGTTAGTGAATTATTTATCGAAAGGATTTGCTTAATAAACAAATTTATTTAATAAAGTTGCAATTGTTCGACTTCTGTTCAATGTTTATTTTTGATAACATTTGATAGTTGACTTAATCGTCGATCGAGCCACTTGAAATTAACGTCCATAATTATATTATTAAAAAATTGTTATTTAAACAAAAATATTAAAATACTTAATTTAATATCACTTTGATCATTTCAGAATCTCATTTTGAAAATTCTAGAGTCGACTCTCTCCAACGGCGTATCACAGAAGAAATCGCCTAAAAAGATAAAAAATAATTAAATGAAAGATCGTTTGAAATGATATAACCCGAGACTAAAAAGAAATACCAAAAAAAAAAAACTGACTCATCTGATGTCTGCGCAAACTATCTGATCTGAAGAGGAATTTGGGGCAAGAATTTAAAAAAACCAACCATCGAAATTGTTAGATCGTTGTGCTTTGAAACGATCGAACCCGAAACTAAAAAACTCACCTGATACCTCCCTGCATAATACGATCCGAACCTAAAAGACGCTAGACTTTTTTTTTTTGGATCAATCACCTGATCGACGAATTCTCAATCTATGTTAGGTTAGGATACTATTTTCGGAAAAAACTTTAAAAAATTCTTTTTTCCAAAAAAAATTAAGAATTTAAATTATTTTGACTGCATAAGCTTATAATAGCATAAAAAGCATAGGGATGGGGACAGTAAACAAGATAATCACGTGATATATATCATGTGCATGCATAATACGGATGATTGAGAACTAATTTAACGCTCAAAGTTAATATTTTTTTTTTTACAAAAAATATTATCATAACTACTTTACTTTCAGTTAGATGTGTAAAAAATTCTCTTTTTATTACTTCATTACAGTTTACATCCTGTGCCACATTATTATGAATCACAATAAGTATAATTTCTAATCAAGATTTCGTTGGAGTTTAAATATAATATTCGAAAGTAATGTTAAAACATAATATCGAAATCATTTTTGAAAATATGAATATCAATAATTTTAGAATCAATTGTTTGAAGTGTTAAATAGTGATTTAGAAACTGATTATAAAAAAGGCTCAGATTTCAATTTACTCTGAATCCAAGAACTTAATAATTGTATTCACAAAGAAATTTCTCAATTATATTCCTTTTGCAAAGAGATAAAAATCATGAGCTGAATTTTTATTATTTATTCGTTACGCTTTCCATGGTCAATGTAATTTTACATAAACTTCAATCAAGAACTACTTCTTTCGGTACATGTCCCCCATTCTAAAAGGTTCACTACACCACCAACCCTAATCGCTGTAATTTTTATTTCGATCCTGTCGTTCAAAATACTTTTATTGTGTAGATACAGATAAAGCTTTTAACAATATATACTGGGTCGATTACATTTACTTCAAAAGCGAATATTCCATACGCCATTGTAGTTGGTATTGTAGAAAACATCTGATTCAGTTCTAGGTTGTGCAATTGCTTGATGATGCTTCACCTAAAGGTACTCACTTCCCGTACTTTGTTTTTATCTTTATTTTAAGTTTATGTGTTATAACATTAGTGTTGAACCGTTAATTTGTTATTTATGGAATTTATCTACCATACTAAAATATTAAAATTCATTTATAGTAACACTTGATGTTTCTTAGTAAGCTTTAATTTATAAATAACAAATTAGCAAACTTCCAAGTTGAAAAAAAAGTGAATAAAATATATAGATGTCCGGCACTGCCGTTGCTGAACTAAAATCATTTGCATTTACTGCATTTATGGCGAAATAATTCAAAAAAAAAAAAAAAAATTTATACTGAACATTGATCCAAACATAACGAGAATGTTATTTCTTCAAACAATAATATATTGACCGATCTGAAAATTTTATTTGGTAATTAGGGAGTGAGGCCTGAGATATAATTCAAAGATCCACTATCATCGTTTTCACTACATTGCTAATTTCTTATTTGTTCAACAGAAAATATAAAACAATCAAAAGGGCGGAAATATGGGAGCGGGACCCTTCAACCAAATGAGATCTTTGATTCATATATGAATTTTATTTGTTTAAATTTTTATAGTATTATTAAAAATGCAAGCAATTAGGCCGTCAAAATTTCTTTCTGTGTAACATCAGTCAAAAAATCTACAATTACAATTTAGAAATGATTAGGGTTTCCGTTTGAAAACAGTATATTCGAATATTCGTTTGTAAATGAATAAAATTCAAATATTCGAAAATATATTATTAATATTTGAATATCGAAATGATTTCGGATATCGAATTGATTCGGTATTTAAATTTCAAAATTAAATTTCTAATAAAATTAGTGTAACAATGTCCCTTAGGATAATTTTAATAATCGACTTTTTAATTAATATTTAATTTAGAACAATTTAGAAATGTTTCCTGTGGCGTAGCATTTTGTTTGATACTCAAAATCAATTTCTTATCCCCGTAAGGTGATGATATTCGATCGCTGCGATCCAAATTAAAATAAAAAATATTAAAAACAATAAATACTGTCGACCCTCTCTATAGTCAACCATATATAGTCATAGTCACATTCTCCTTCATAAGCACACTTAAACACTTACATTGGCCCAAGTTACTAATAAACTATTAAAAAAAAACCCTTTCTTTAGTCACATCATATAGTATTTTTATAATCACATCATTTTTTTTCGGGTGTGACTATATAGGGGATCGACTGTACCACACTTCAGGCAATTTCGAAATACGAATGAAAGGGAAAGTCTATTATCTAAATTAATTGTGACGAAAATCATTTTGAAAACTTTGAAAAAGGGTGATTGTCACCACATATGGTAATGCAAGTTTGTATATCTATAATTTTTAGAATCAAATTTATGTAATATTAAAAATTGAATATTTGGAGTTAGGACCTTTTTTCTCCTTATAAAAAGCCTCAGCTTTCAATAAACTCTGAATTCGAGAAATTAATAACTACATTCACAAAAAAAACTCTCAATTAATATAAAAAAATATTGTCAAAGAAATAATAATCATGAAACAAAATTTGAATTTTATTCTTGTATTCATTTTATTAGCTACGCTTTCCATGGTCAATGCAAT